GTTCCAATGTCTTGTAGCTGGTCTGTTGATCAAAATAGGTGCTTTAGCAGGAGGTCTCATCTCCGCGGCGGGGCTATGCTATTGGCCCATGTCACGTCCTTAACAATAGGCTGCACCTCCTGTGCCTGCGCCCTTTTCCCCCTCTTCTCCCCTTACCAAGGGTTTTCCCATATATAGATGTTTTTCCCAGCATTGGTCTCTTTCCCAGTGTCATTAAACAGGAGTCTGTCATTTGTTTCTTTCTCTGAATCATTAATGAGAGCGGCATGAGAAGCATGTCAGCTCTCCTGGGATATAATTTGGTTTGTTGTTTCAGTCTGGCCTGACGTTCAGGGTTACTTGTTCTGTCTGAGGCATTTAGTCCTTGTTGCAGCGTGGAGTCAAATGCTAGGTTTTGGACAGAACAGGGCAGGGGGAAGCGGCAGACTTGTAATGCTCGCCTGTGGGTCTTGTTTCACAGAAGGGCTAAACCAGCATTTAGTACATAGTGAGTTTCTTCAGTATTTTCTGGGTTTAGGTTTTTGTCTACTTTTTGAGTGGTGGACCAAATCTTCCTGTAGTGTTCCCCCTGTTATAAAACTTCCTCCTGACACCTTTTGTGGCTCTGTTTTTTCATGCTTGTCTTTGTCCTTTGCCTTTCTGCTTTTCTGTTTTTGCTTCTCCCGCATGGCTATGAGATTATTCTATACTTCATCCTAAGAATGTGGCTTTTTTCCTGACTGCTGCTTTTCTCTGTGAAGATGTAAAGATCAGCTCATGGTTATCCATGTCAGCCTCTTACAGTTTCAGCACAAAGGACAAAAGAAAGAGCAAACTTAAGGCTTTGCTTTTACTTTGTTTCATTAATAAATCCCTAAGAACTTTTTTCCTTTGGAATTGCTTTTTGCCTGTTGTTGTTTGAGTCTGCTTTCTGAATGTCGACTTTCTTTGACTGTTCTCCCATCTCTTTTTTTACAAGGATCATACTTTTACCCAGTGATACGGATAGACAGGTAGCTAAAAGCTTCTCTGTAACCAGTCTTGCACTTTGTGTGGCTCTTTATAACTATTGAGAAATAACCGTTTCCACTTGATGCTCTTAACAACTAGTAGGTGGTGTTATGGTCAGATCTTTCTCCTTTCTCACACATAGCTCTTCAGATTATCTACCCTCTATGCAAATTTGGACAGACAGGGTTGCATGTGCAGCTTCAGTAAGCAAGCTGCCACCTTCCTGCTCTTCTCTTGCTTCTGTCCCCTGACCAACCTGTATGTTTCTGTGTTAGTACTCCAGTGGCATGGATTCTCCCCTTGGATCATAATTGTAAGTATTACAGGAGGCTTTAGTTCCTCATAGTTCCTTATATTAGTAAGTAGGTGTTCCACAGTCTGATTCACTGCATTCCTTCTGTCCCAACTACAAGTGCTTCATGCCTTCTAATAAATATTAGGACACCTTTGTCCAGCTTATCGGATTTATGCTGACCTGTGGGCTTATAACTTCCACCTGACACCAATTCCTTCTCTATTGGTTACTTCTTTCCCCAGTTCAAGGTGTGCTTTCAATCCCGTTCTCTAGGTTCTTAGCCTGTTTTGAATCCAAGTTGGCATCTGGTACGGGAGTGGGAGGGGAGTCCTCATGTATCTCTGGTACCAAACTACCACATCATTCTACTGTTTACAGTTCCTTCATCTTTTCTGTGAACAGATTCAGGATGAGTTCAGTTTTGAACAATACAGATTTATTCTTAGTATGTTTTCATCTTGCCGCCCGAGCTTCCTGAGGGCTGTATTATTTCCCATACTTCTCTCTTAAAATTACATGTGGAAAATGATGTTACGATGTTTGAGGGTTTTTTGGGGGGTGGGATATTTTAATTTGCTTTTCCTTCCAGTTCTTGAGGCCAGGGGAAAAGGTTTCTTGCTGTTTTGTTTTCTCAGTCTTTTCTTTGCAGAGCTTCTGTTCTCACATTCTTCATTTTGGAAAATACGCTTTCATGCAACTGTCAATATCTTTCAAATACATATTTACCTTTTTTCTTTTGTAGATGGAATGAGTTTGTTGCTCACATATTACTTCAATCCAAGCTGGTGCTCAGAAATAGTTTAATGATTGTATTGTAATACTGTTGGTGATGGTGTTGTCCACAGAGGATTAAACAGATCAGGGAGGGCAAAAGGCAAAGCTCTAAAGTGTGGGTGACATTAATGCAGGGTCTCATTGGTCTGTTTGAGGACATATGGTCTGAGGTCACTTGCTAGTGATAGAAGACATTTGTGTTCTGTCTTGCTATACTCATGCCACTCGCATGCATGTGCCCCTTTCAGTAACAACCCTCCACCCACACAAAGCAGGAGAGATTGTTTTCGTATTCATTAGGAGATTACTTCTCTTCTTCTAAAGTTACTAGTGCCAAAAGAGCTTGGTTCATTGGAGAACCCAGTTACATTAAGGCTTTTGACAATTCCATCAGGCTTTGTAAATAAAAAGTGAGTGTATCCTATTTGTGGTTTAATTTTTTTTTTATTTTTTTTTTTTTTTGCTTGATCTCATCCCACTTTCCTCTGTCCTAGAGGTCATTGTGATTACAAGGAAGGAAATCCAAAAGATGTTAAACTTGGACACAAAAATGAAGCTGGATTTTGTGTGCATCAGTGACAACGTGGACATGGGTACAGCAGACTCACTAAGGCATATTCACCAGAAAATTAAGGTATTATTGTCTTTTACTGAATTTGACTGGAAGACAATTGTTTATACTTTTTATTTGTGTGCTTTAAGAGCTGTCCCATGTAATGACATTGTGGGTAACTGAATTTCCTGATCTTCATAAGAGCTGAATTTTGTAAAGGTCACCTTATGGGGGAACTCAGACAAATACTCTAAATGACTAGAATTGACAGGTAGGAGGGCTGGAGCAGATCCAGGCTCGGTACTGGCTGCTTCTTAGTCAGTGCTAGCTTTCTGGCAGGTTAAATAAAAGGTTGTATTTGTTGATGAAATTTTTGATATGATGTGTGATAGCTGTTGCCCACACAGTGCTTGGGGAAGCAGTTCTGCACAAATGTTCATTGTCATCTTATCAGTGTATTGCCTGTGCTATGTAAGGAAGCTTATATTCAGGTCTTGGCCCTGCCACAGGCTTGCCTGCACCATTAGGCAAGTGACTTGCTCTGTGCTTCAGTTTTCTGCTTTTCCTGTGCTTTTGCTGGCTTGGTCATACAGTAAGCTCTTCAATAAATAGTGCCCAAATGTGATACAAGGCTGCTGTTCTACCAAAAATGCCGGTTTATAGAATTTTAATTTCCAGCTGCACAATTAAAACACTCCCATGTAAGGCAGAAATGCTGCTCAGAGCTCTTACCATGATCTGGGATGGAATTTTGTTTTTGTCATTGTCATACACTAAATCTTTCTGATTTGTTCCCTGTCTGTTTAGCCAAACTGGCTGTTTAAATAAAGGTTGCAACATAACATCAACGGACTGTTTTAAGTCCTGAGATGCCTTTTTGTCTTCAAGCTCTTTTTGAAGGTAATAAACTGCAGTGTAAGAGGCTGTGTACTCCCAAGAGAAAGATGCCAATTGATTCCGGGCAAATATGGCTGTCTAGGTGGCACAATGAGAGAGATTCTACAAGGGATTAATACACAGACTAGAACAATTTAGAGGGCAAAGAGAAGATACAAAGAGGAAAAGCAAAATCAACAAAATCAGTTTAACTTAATGTTTCTGTCATGTGGAGAATCGTGCGCTCATAACTCAGTTTGGTGGTATTTTTTAAATATATGCATGCAGTAAGGAAGTATCTCTGCACTGCAAATTATGGCCCTGGCCTTACAGTTTTATTGCCTGATCAGAGCGATTAGTGTGGCTCTCTGGGTGTCCCTCTTTTTGGTAATCCAGGCGAGTTTGCTTAGGGGGAGGCCTGGGAGACAACAGTAAAGCATGCGGGGTTAAGAAGATAGACTGTACCTTCAGAGGCAGCAGTATTGATATTTTGTTTATTTTTTAGAAAAAAGGCTTAGAGAAGATGTGAAGTAGTATTGAAAAACACGCAGCTTTTCTTCAGTCAGCTGCTGTGTATGAAGGGCAGCAATTACTTCTGCCCTTTTTATTCCATGTCTTGCTTGTCTGGCCAGAGAGGACAAAGTGGTCTCTTATTTGAAATAAGCCTATACTAAGTTCTGGAGCAGATTGCTGCACTGTGTATTTTGGAGTCATTCCTCTAGTAAATGCATACCACCGGTACACCTCTTACAGGGTATACTCTCTCCTGTGTCATATACGTGAGAGAGCTACACAGCAAAGGTAGCTGAAAAGCTGCAGTATGTTGGGTATGTCTACAGTGTAGCAGGAGAGCAGTCTCACTGAAGAATGCCCTGGTGAAAACAACTGCTGCTTGTGGCCATAGTTTGCTGGCAGGCTTTTTGCAACCCATGCCAAAAAGTCTGATGAGGAGTTTAAACTCGTTGCTGAAACTTTTATTTGTCGCAAATTGAGTTAATTGCCGACAGAAGAGCAGGTATGCTCCATAAAAATGAGGTAACATAGCACAGTATAGACAACTTGCCTGTGTGCAATGCGAGTGATGTGGAGTAAAGCCAAGATTATAAATGCACTGTAAGAAAGTCTAAGGCTAGCTGAACCGCTGATCACAAATCCTCAGATGTGCATAAATGTTGAACCTCTCTAAAGCATAAAAATCTCACGACTTTCTGCCTTGTCTGGCATTTGACTGAGGGAGTTCCACCAGCGCAGCACTGCTGCTTGCTGTGCCTGCAGTTGCAGGCCTTTTTGCTGTATTGCACATTGGTTAATGAAGCTTGGTACTTTAAAGATTAGAGATCGAGATTAGATTCACATAATTGCATTCAGTAGTAGCGTGAGAATACATACATGCAAAGCTCATATTGGGTTAAGGGAAGGTAGTTTGCAGTGTTGTTTCATCACTTTCTGGTGCTGGCATTTTTGGGGACAGGTGAGACTGCCTGTCTTGGTTCACAGTAACAAGCAGCTAATTCTACCAGTCTTACTCTTTTCTGGTTGTTCAGAAGTTCAGGAGAGCAAAGGAAGCCTGTTCAAGTTTTTGTTTGCTGTTCACCCACTTTACACACACAGGATTTTTTTTGACATCTTTACTTCAAGAGTTGATATAGTAGATGCATGCTCTTTACTCTGCTGGAACTCCTCCTGTTATTTTTGGCTGTCTCAGCCTACACCTGATTGACAAGGTAGCAGCTTCATTAGGTTTTTTTTATATTCATAACAAGTCTGAATGTATCCTTTTCTTGGATCCTTCACACAATAAAGATACCGTGCTAAACTTGGTCCCTGAAGACACCTGTTTGAGAAGTAATGAGCAACAGAGAACTTGGTCCCATAAGTTCCACATTTTGGGTTCCTGGGCCTGGGTGTCAGTCTGGCCTGTTCTTTACCAGTAGTTCTTTAATTGACTTTTGTGGTGGGGTGTTTTTGTTTGTTTTTATTTAAATGTTCAATTCTGGTGTCTGAATAGCTAACACCATTGACCAGTTTGTCTTCACAACTCTATGGCTGAGAACTGAGGCTTAAAGAGATGCAGTAATTTGCAGTAGAGAAATTTGTAACAGTACTGGAAACTGGACAGCTGTCCCAAGTCTCTCACAGATTTGTGCACAAGACCATCTTTCTATACTGTGCGCATATTGCATACTCTGTTTTTTCAGTGTGTGCTAGATTATGACTTTAAAAAGGTCCTCAGTTTGGGAATGCATTGGTCTAAATGTAAGTTACTGAAAAATCACTTTGCAGCATTTGAAGTGAGGAACTGATAGGGATTTTTTTTTGTCTGTGTTTATATTATTTTTTTTAATTGGGTAATATAATACTTACTGACATTTTACACAAAGTTATTAATGTCCAGCACTCTAAAATGATGTTGTCAAAAAGCACAAAGCGTGTATAGGACTGACTCGTTTATTTCCTGAATGTTTTGTTTTATACAGGGATATGAAAATAATTTAAGGACTTTGTTACAACTATTGATCAGATCCTTTAATTGCTTCCCTGGGGACAATCCCACTAGAATGCTATTGATTTCAGGATCCTGCTATAGTCTCTGTACTTTATAGCAGTTTCCATGGCTATCATTTTAATGTCCAGTCTTTATTTTTTTATATAGTTTTAGTATCACTGTCAGTTTTATTCATTTGGCCCTTTAAGTTCCTAGTTTTCTGCTCATCTTTTGCAGGACTGATAACAGGTGGCTTTTCAAAATATGAAAACGAAAGTGAAGCTGCAAAGTCTTAGTTCTTTTTTCCTTTATATATAGGATTGGAAATGGTAAAGCATAGACTATGGAGGCTGACAGTTGATGGTGTTATAATAAAGCTCTTGTTGAAACTGCAGCTTTACCACCATAGGGGTTGTTTACAGGTCTCTGTCACTTTGTAATCTAGCCTAAACAAGCCAGCCTTCCATGCCTGTAGGTTTGGATCAGTGACGTTCCCTGGTCACGAAGAGTGAAGAGAGTTCCCCTATTCCAGATAGAGCCTTGGCAAGAGAATGCTATTTATAGGAATTTAATGTATTTTGGAAGATGAAGGTCTGCTTCTGTAGCTGAGTAAATTAATTTTTTTCTTATTTTAAATGTCTTCTGAGTTTCATTTTCTTTCAATTGTTCACATAAATAATTATACTAGAGTAATTTTGAAGTGATTTACTTAGTGAAAATTTCAGTACTTTCTGAGTTACTGCCTTACCTGCAGCATGCAAGTGAGACAGGTCCAGCAAGACTTATGAGACACAAAAAGAGGCAGTACCAAGGATTTCTTCGGCTGTGTGCCTGTCAGCTTTTAAAAAGCTGTGCAAAGTAGTGGAAAAAACCTCAAGAGCAACGAAGAGCTATGATAAACCAAGCAACTTTGATGGGTCGTAACAAGCAATGAATCAAGCAGTTACATCCTTAGGTTAACAATCTGTTAAAGCAGTACTCTCGAACCGTTTACTCAATCCAGCATCTTTATGTTGAACACTTAAAATATTGCTGTATGTTCATGTCTGTTTTCAAGAATCATTGTCAATAAATACTTTGAAACTTCAGAAAATGCTTTTTATAGATTGAACAACAAAGCCAGCTCTCTAAGTCTGTAATATGTAAATACCACCTCATCCAACGTACGTTAGTAAAAGCAGACTGTGAGCTCTTTAGGGCATAATCCATGCTTTTGTCTCTGAAGGACATAATGTTTTGGTCTCCTCCTTTGTTTGGAGCCATGTTGCTGTTGTCTTAATCTATTATTTGCATTAAAGAATATTCCTGACCTGTCAGGGAGTGCTTGAAATTAAAAAAAAAGTGTAAAAATTGTTTGTTTATGAAATGTAAATCAAACTCCCTCCTTCAGGAAATCTTGTTTTCCACATCCATTTCTTTTTTCCTGTCACTTTCTGATTCTGCTCTCTTTTCTACTTCATCAATCAAAAGATATCTTTTCTACTTCATCAATCACTTAGGCTGTTACTTGTCACTGTTTCATCCAGTACAGGCATGGGGGCACACAGCCTTTGCATGCTTTGCTAAGGAGCCTGTAGGATTGGTAAGGGGGAAGAAATAATTCACTTTCTTAAGAGTCAGGCTCTCTAAAGGGTAAACTTTCATTAGGGACAAGTGAGTAAACAATTTGGATGTAAGGATGGCTTAATCTAGCCCTGAGCATGAACAACTGAATACCTCT